CCCCTGGAGATAGCCCATGGCCCCTGGAGGCAGCCTGTGGCCCCTGGAGGCAGCCCGTGGCCCCTGGAGACAGCCCGTGACCCCTGGAGACAGCCCGTGACCCCTGGAGGCAGTCCGTGAACCCCGGAGACAACCCGTGGCCCCCGGAGACAGCCTGTGACCCCCTGGGGACAGCCCGTGGCCCCTGGAGACAGCCCGTGGCCCCCGGAGACAGCCAAGGCCGCTGGAGGCCCGGAGGCAGCAAACGTCTAATTCTGTGTCATTTGTTTCCTGCAGTTGCAGAAAACACATGCTTTGGAATCACTGCAACTGGGGCTTTCTCTGCCTCTTGTTTCCCCTACACTCATCTACCTTATGCTTTTTAGAGAACCAGGGAGAAACCACAACAGAGGTAAACATCCCTTTGAACTCCCCAGTTTTCCAAAGAACTCGGCTAGGCAGTTTCTGACCCATGTGGGATGGTTGCTGTGTCCTGCAGAGCCATAGAAACGAGAAATGAGTGTGTGAGGTTGGTGCTTTGTGCGGCCACCCCAGGTGACCCCAACTGGGGGGCCCCAGGGCCGGGCAGGAGGGGCTGGAGGTCGGCAGCACCTACCAACTTTTCACTGAGATCTAACGCGTCCATCACATCCTTTTTCCCTGACTTCTCCAGGGTCGCGACGAACTCTGAGTCAGCAAGGCCATTTTGAGGCTGAAATAAAAAAGAAAAGAGAAAACCCTCTCTTGGCACTTAATTATGAATTTCTACAACTGGAAGTGAAAGCTCTGGCGGCTGCCGGGTTGACTTGGCCCGAGCCCTTCTGGCCGTGTTCTTGACCTTCAGAGCTCAGCTCTTGTTCTTCAGTTACTGTCCAGCTAGCGGCTCTCAGTGGAGCGCGGGGTGATTCTGCCTCCTCTTCACCTCTGTCCCTGCGCCCAGGACCTTGGGCGGTGCTTGGACACCTTTTAGGTTGTCATAACAGAGGGTGGGGGTGTTACTGGCACCTAGTGGGTAGAGGCCCTAGACTAAACATCCCACAGCGTGCAGGGCAGCCCCCCAAATTATCAGTAGCACCAAGGTCTACATGCCAAGGCTCTGGCGTGCCTTTGCTCACTATCCCACTTCTTGTGCCAAGCAGGGCACCTGGCACTCACAGCGTGTCATGTTGAGGGCATGTTTGTTGAATGAATAAAAGAAGATCCCATAGAAAATTCCTTTTATTAAATAAATGGAATTTTTTCTGCAAGCAGACAAAGCCCTCACAAAATGTGGCTGGGCTGTCTCCTACTGCTGGACTGGCGGGCTGGCAGGATGTCAGATTTTTTTTTAGATTTATTTATTTATGCATACAAGAACTGGGGTACAGTTCAAAGGTGCAGGGGTGAGAGAATTCACCAGAGACAGAGTGGGGAGCAGAACAGGCAGCTCTACTAAAATAAACTGCTGAGGGGGGCGGTGGGGAGACAGGAGACGTCTGCTGCGCTGTGTGGGTCAGCTCCCAGGCAGGGGATCAAACTGGTGCTGCAGTGGCTGCTGATAGCTTCATGGTGCTGCGCTTTAATGTGTTGTGCCACCAGGAAGGGCCCTAGCATGCCAGATCTTTCCAGAGACAGTGCAGGATGGTTGGAGATCTGAGCACTCACAAGGACCCCAGGCAGCCAGCCAGAGCTGCCCACAGTGTGGAGAAGCCCCAGACTGGCCAGGGAGCCCGCAGAGACAGCTCCCTAACGAACTGACTTGGGCTTTAAGTACTGCCACCAGCATCTCTTAGGCCGTTGCATTTGATGGCACTCCACTGTAAACCTCTGAGATCAAAAGATAAAGCCAATTACAGAAATATAAAGGCCCCCAAGTGCCTGTCCTGTGTAAGGTGACACTTACCTGTGTATTTATAGAGATTAAAAAGGGGAGTTTGGGGGTGTCCATAAGCTGGGCAGCTGTGCTGCAGGAGTAACTTGAATTGCCACTCTGGGTCCCGGCTCCTTTCTCCAGCCCCCCGATTTCCCAGTAGGGTGCTGGAGACGGGCCTCGGCCACCCATTGCTGGCTATGCCCTGTTATTCGGTGACTTTGGGGGAGGTTCTGGACGCCTGAGACTCTGTCTTTCCTACCTGTAGAATGGGGACAGTGATGGTAACTGTGGTAGGATGTGGCAGTGAGGATGAAATGAGATGACACGCGCAGAGGGCATCGCTCGGTGCCCGGCACACGTCACTCATCCTTGCCCCACTCACTGCCTTCAGCTTTAATTACTGCCAGCCTTGGAGACAGAGGCTAAGCAGGTCGCGAGTTTTCTGCTCCATGCGGTCAGGGGCAGGATTAGAGGCTGATGCTGACAGCAATCTCGGAAGGGGGATCGGGGACGATGCAGCTGGTGTCCCACGTGGAGGTCACTCCAAGTGAAGGTCACCCCATGATTGCAGCCTCAGAAGCCAGGGTTTAGTTTTATCAATAAAACCGACAGATGGGTCTGAAGAGTCACATCTCTAGCAGATGTTTAGAAAACTCGCCAGAGGGGACAGTGACAGATAGGATGACCTGGTTACTTCTTCCTAGAGCGTAAGCAGCCTTTGGCTTCTGCTGTGGCAGCAAACCACGCCCCCTGGACCCTGTGACTGATGTGGACTCCAGCTGTCGGTCTGCCGTGTGTCAATCAAACACCCTCTTGGGGCTTGGGGCCCCTTCCACTTAATAACCAGTCACTGCTGAAGATCCTGCCAGGTGAAACTGCCCTCTGAGAGAGGGAGGTTTTTCTGGAACGACATGACCTAAGTACCCTTAACAAACAAATAACATCAGTGAGCGTTTATTACGTGTTCCCTTTGCGTTGAGCCCTGGGATAAGCACTTCACACGACGGCCTCTTCTGGTTTTCCCACCATCATCTTGCAGCTGGGCCGTGGAGCCCCAGAAAGGTGGAGAACCGGCCCAGAGGGGCACGGCCCCCCCCGGCCTCCCAGCTCCTGAGTGGCTCGGGAACTGGCCTCGTGCTCCCGCTGCTGTCTGTGCTCCTGGAGGCCAGGCTACAGAGACTAGCCGACTGTGGGCACACCCACGCGTAACGTGGGCTGCGTGTTTTCTGCAGACTCACAGTGGCGTGAGGGTGGCCACCTGCCGGAGGCTGGTCTGGCCCCACACCAGGCAGCGCCACATCACGCCGGACACAATGGGAGACGCTTTCACGTCAAACACCCAGCCCCGGCTCGTGGGGCACCAGCTGCGCCCGATGCCGGCCTGGCCTGTCCGGGAGCGCCCTCCCTCCCGCCCGCCTCTCCCTCATCTGCCAGGCAGAGGGCGCCTTACCGCCTGGAACTCTGTTCTCGAGGGACTTGGCAGGTCAGGTTGGGTGTTCAATATTTTCTGGATGTTGTTTTCCATCCTGGGAGACTTCAAGTCGAGAAACGATTCATTCAGGCGGTCCTTCTGATCTGTATATGAGAGAGACACTTCAGGCTGGATGGGACGGTGCGGGAAGTCACCGAGTGTCACAGGCCAGCTTCCGCCACCGGACTTGTTCTAGGTCACCCAGCCAGCACGGGCTGCAGCGTGAGGGCTCTGGTGCCCAGGCAGTATGGGTGACTGCAGGACAGGGTGGGGTCTAACCCGTGGCTCTGCCAGCAGGGTGCTGTCTGGAGAGCCCTCTCCGGTCTGAATAGGGTATTCACGAAGGTCCTGTGGAGCTGACCCTGGCATGGTTTCTGTCGGGCCACCGTGAAATAAGAAAAGAAAGGACAATGTAAAGTGTTTTGCACGAGCTATTATTTAATATGATGCTGAGATGATGTCAACATCTTTCCCGCTCTGACAGGCTGGGGGTAAAAGGTCGGGCCCAGCAAATTAGCTGGTCCTTGATGAGAACCCTAGAGTCTGGGGCCTGGGCTCTGAGCTTCGAGGGGGCCAGGAGGCAGGACACTTACTGGATGAGCGGGCCTTCTCCAGCTCTTTAATTCTCACGCGGAGTTCAGACAAGGCCCTCTTCTGGCGCTGGATGACCTCCTCGTGTCGAGACCCCTTGCACTTGGCCCCGAGGGCGCTGAACGACTGCTCCTGTGGCCAGAAGAGTGCGGGACGCAGCTTCACAAGGGGTCAGAGCGTCTCTCCCATCGCAGGAAGTGCGAGCAATTTGGAGAGCAGAGACCTTGCCACTCAGAGCTTGGGGAACAGCGGAAGGGGCTTGGGCAGAGAAGGAAATCGTGGTTTTCATCTCGAATGGAAAGCCCCATGGAGGAAGATTCCCAACTTTCCTCCTACTTAGCATCGCATTAAGTAAAAGGTCTCCATGTTGCCTCCCCACGTTTTGTTGATTTATTATATTTGTTTTCCCCCCTAATACTCTGCTAGGCCTGGCTTTCTATTGGTTGTCATTCCTTTTTTTTTTTTTTTAAGATTTATTTATTCATGCACACAGAAGTGGGGGACAGGCCAGAGGGGCAGGGGTGGTGAGAGGCTTCACCAGAGACAGAGTGGGGAGCAGACCAGGCAGATGGACGAAATGCACTGCTGAGGGGAGCAGCGGGCGGGTCAGGAGACGTCTGCTGCGCCATGTGGGTCACCTCCGGGGCTGGGGATTGAACTTGTACCGAAGCAGTTTGGCCAGCTTGCAGTGCTGCGCTCTAACCCCTGGGCCACCGGGCAGGGCCCTCTCCTGGTTGTCATTCTGCTCTTGTGTCTGAACAATCATGTTGAATTCTGCTCTGGGAGGGACATGTTTAGATGAGACCAGGTGCCTCTTCTCAATTGGTAGTGAGGAGGCCTGTGTGAGATTGACTTGGAATGTGACAGCTGGGTCTTGGCTGGCCTGAACGAAGGAGACCCTTTCTCCGAGACTTGCCACAGAAGGCTTCTCAGGATTTCTGTGATGATGGAAATGTTCTGTCTGCACTACCCGACATGGGAGCCGCCAGCCACCTAACGAGAGTTGGGTGTTTGTGAAGGGAACAGACATGGGAATGTCTTCATCACCTTTTAAGGATTTTGTGCTCCTTTGAGATTTGCAAAAATGCAGAGTTTCTTCTTCAAGAAAAATGCACACATGCACAACAATTTGCATTTCAGTTCTAGAGGTCCAGGGCTCCGGGAAGCTCAGGCATGGGCTTGGTTAATTGTGTCTGCTGAGTAAGTGGGTCAGTCATTCAGGCATTTCACCAAGACTTGTTGAACCAAGACTCTTAGTCCTGGCTTTGGGGACTTGGCTGTGCTGTCTTAGACATGGGTGAGATAAGCATGGGGAATGCAGAGTAGACAGGTGAGAGAGGAACGGGAAGACACATGTCCATAGCCCATGTGTGAGAGGGAGACAGCGCATGCACCAGGCACTATTTAGGTGCTGGGGAGCAGTGGGGGAGCAGGCGGGAAGTCCCACTCTGGAGCCCATTTCTGAGACACAAGCACCCAGCAGGCATGTCCATCACCCCAGGAAACAAGTGCTACTTAGAGAAGAAAGCAGGGGTGGAGGAAAGTTTTGTCTTTGAGCCATCAAATGCATGGCAAGGCCTGCCTGGCATGTCGCAGGCTGGGTGGTGGCCAGTGGCCTCTGGGAGTGCCTGGCCTGTGACCACAGGAGCAGCTGAGCTCCCCCGGGGCTGCTCCTCCCAGCGGTGTCTCCCCGCTGGGCCTGTCTCTGCCTCAGGCTCCACTCCAGCTCACCTCCTGGAGGGGCCCCCGAGTGCCTGACCCCCAGCATCCCCACCCCAGGTCTGTATGTGTGCATGTGCATGAGTGTGTGTGCAGGGGTGTGGCGAGGAGGGCAAGAGCCGAGCGTGGGGGGGGGGGCAGCCACTGCCACCAGGCTGTGCCTTGGCCTGCAGAGTCCTCCTGGCTCTGTGTGACCCTTCCTCTCGGCTCTCTTGGGAATTGTTTATTTGGAGGCAATGGAGATTCTTTCTCATACAACTGTTCAGCCCTCTGACCCGCTCTGGCTTAGAAAGCAGGAAGCAGCCTGAGTGGGGAGAAGCATTCTGAGAAGGAACAAATACTTTCGCCCTTTTATCTTGCAGCTTCCCACCCCCTCAACTCATCCCGCCTTCTCTGAGCAACGTGACATCCGGGTGTTCAGTCAAGAATATAGCCTGGGAGGCCACACGTGTGGAGCTGGGGGGAGTCCGGTGTGGGCAGGGAGCCGTGTGTCTCCCCTGTGCCCAGCACAGGGCCTGGCACTGTTGAATGAGTGAGCAAATACAGACCTGGTCCTGCTCTCAGAACCTGGGGTTCCCACGAGAGTGAGACCCTGTCACCCGCCACTGAACATAATCATGTAGAGTGAAACCACATCCTGGTGGCTCGGCCGCTCCGTGCAACCAGAACGTGTGCTCTGCACAGTGGCCGTGCCCAGGACAGCCAGAGGGCCGCCAAGCCCTCCCTCCAGACTGTGCTCGGCCTCGCTCTGCTGCTTGGCAGGGGGAGGCAGGTCCGAGAGAGCAGAAAGGCGGGCTGACGCGTCTGGCCTGTTTGCAAGTGAAGATCCAAAGCCTGCTGCTGAAACACCCTGCTCTCTAGCTTCACAAGGCAGAATGGAGAGGACATCGCTGGACTCCAGGAAACGTGGGGCTATGGGATCCATCGCACCCCGTCGTCGACTGACCACAGCTGCTGGGGTGCACCCAGCCCTGCAGACAGACCCTGCGCCTTCGAGGGTCACCTGGTAGGGGCTGTTCCTCCAAGCCACGGGCCCCCACGGGCCGTCCTTCCCTGCGGGCAGCCCCTACCTGTCCCTGGGAGGCCTCAGTGCCGCAGCATGGAAGCGGGAAGGTGGTTTGGCCCCAGCAATCACAAGCGAGGACGTCCTCTGGGCCCAGCAGTTTCACGTCTTGGAACTTGTTCTACGTATGTAGAGGGACGTTACAGCCTCACGTGAGGGCAGGAATAGTGACCGAAATGCCCATGGGCAGGGGAGTGGGTGGAAAAGAGGCAGGTGGAGCGCTGCGCAGCTGGACAGCACAAGGCCCCGCTCGCCAGGCTTTCTGGAAGAGGCCCCTGGGCAGAGTTGCGGGGAGAGAGCAGGCTGCGCCGAGCGCTGTGATTGCTAAGCGCTGATCTCTGGACACGGGTCTACGAGGTGCGTGTACACAAGCTTGGTTTCTCGGTAGCTGGTCACGCAGCAGGCCTCCCTGAGGCCAGCACGGTCATACCGGAAGCTGGTGGTCCCTGGGGAACCGTTCATCACCCCCATACCAAGGTGGGGTGTTGTTCGGACCTGGAGTGGGAGCCGCTTGCTACGGATACGATGCCCATAAACACGTTGTTGTTTGGGGCGTAGAGTGAAGCTGTTTTCAAAAGCAAAGGAACCCACCCGTGGGCTCTCAGTGCCTGTTCCCTGGGCCCTGGGGGGCGGTGTGGGGCGGGGCTGGCTCTCACCTCTGGGCCAGTCAAGAAGACGTCGGTCTGGACTGGGTCCATCTGCACCGAGATGTCTCGTGTCTGGGCCTTGTCCAGGGGCTTCTGCTCCTTCTCCTCGTGCGGCTGCGGTTGGTGTTTCTCCTGTGAGGCCCTAGGGCAGGGAGACGGGTCACAGGCAGTGGGTGGGTGGGGCCATCAGGCTCCGGGACCACCGCTGCCCACACTGGCCCTACTGGAAAAGGAACTCCAGGATGACCCCAAGCTCGCAAGCCTCCTGCTCACAGATTCCTAGAGTTTAGTTTCAGGGGATGCCAGGGCAGTGGCCAGGGCTGTGGGCACCTGCCCATCCTGGCTGTCCAGCTGGGTTTCCGTGGCTCCAGTGGAAGCATTTACTACGCCCACTGATCCTAATAGGTTACGTGTCGGCCCTTCTGTTTCTCCCAACAATCCCACGAGGCGGGGAATCTTGCTCCATCTTAAAGGCAAGAAGAGAGGCCCTAGGCCACGCAGCCATGTGGCTGTGCGTGGAGACCTGGTCTGAGCTAGCCGTGGGTCTGTCCCCACTCTCTGGCCCTGCGGAGGCCCCAAGCATGAGCAGCTGAAACTACAGGGCTACACGAAACACAGTTTTACTCACATTTGCTTGGGGAAAACACTACTCAGGTCAAAATATGGATCGTTATATTAAAGTGCAAACTCCCATGTGCTTTTAAGACCAAGCCATGGGCCAAAGGTTATTGTATTTTTATTTCCAGCTGCTCTCTGACACTTCTAGTTTATACAGTGGTCTGAAAAATACTTGTGAAGTTCCCTGGTTGTCAGGTGATGTGTAAATGCCGGAGGGCCCGATATGCTCCTGGGTCTACAGTCTCTCTACGAAGCCCCTGTCCTCACAGGAAGCAGTCTGCCTGTGTGAGGAGTGGTAGGGTAGGCAGAACGCAGGGACTGAGGGACCCAGGCAGAGCAGGAGCCCTTGGCTACGTTTGGTCATGACAATTGATGGAAGGCTTCCTGGAGGCGGCAGCATTTACATTGAGGCCTGTCATCTGGAGTATTGGGCAGGTGTATTTAAGAAGCATGAACTAACCAAAGGCCTGCTTTCATGGACGCGGCAGTGAAGCCCTGAAACACACGTCACTCATCCGCTCGCTCTTCCAGTGCTCCATTCAACTCTTCAACTGGCATTTACGAGACCCCCTCCCTGAGCGAAGCCCTCGGGCTCTGGAGCGTGCGTGGGACCCTGCGCACCTGACCACCTCCTTGAGGACCTGCATTTCCCGGTCCTTCCTTTCCACCAGGCCGGTCAGGTGCTCGGTCTTTTCCTTGAGTGCTTTCAGTTCTCTGTTTTGTTGCTGGACCAGCGCCACGTTCCGCTCCAATTCTATCTTCTGCTTCTCAGAAAGCTCCCCTGGGAGGGACAGGAAAGCTGGTGTGGGGGTCTCCTGCCTGTCACCACCTGGGCTGTGGCGGGTCTGCCAGGCCCCAGAAGCCTGAGGCGGGTCTGCCCTCCAGGAATTCTCAGGAATTCCTTCCTAAGTGCCTGGATGTCTGTTTGCAGCTTTGCAAACAGCTGCAAAGTAGCTACCACCGCCATCTTGGGGGCCGCTGGCTCTGCAGAGCACTGTGCTCCACCTTACCCCTCAGGTGGGCACCTGCTGTCAGGGCCTCCTGGGGGGGAAGAGAAGCCTTCTGCTTCTCCTGTTTGCCTGAGAGTGTTCTGAGGCCCCTGGAGCCTGCCCTGCTCACCTGTCTGCCTGTGGCAAGTGGAGCTGGGTACACAGCCAGCGCCCTGACCCTCGGGTGGACACCTCAGAGGCGTGTGTCCGTCCTGGCCCCCGGCATTTCCCTGGGGAGTGGAGCCTGTTGCCCACATGCCCCTGCCTGACAGCAAGCAGGTATCTGCCTTCTTCCCTTCCAGCCTCAGCCCCCTCTTCACCGCTGCTGTTTCCTGGGGTCACCTCTCAACCAACCTGTCCACGTGGACTTCTGCTCTCTGGGGCTGCTTCTGGGGGAGTCCTGCATTCCCTTGAGTACCCAAAGCCACCCTACTAGGGGCGACTATTAACACCTCACTTCACAGATGGCAGAAACGGGAGCTCAGGGAGGTAAAGTGGCTTGTCCATGATGCATAACTCACGAATAAGAGTCAGGGCTGGGGCCACGGTCTCCCTCTGCTAGAACTGGGCTGTGCAGCTTCTGCTACACTTGCTCAGCTTCTGCCCGGAGCAGTTGTCCTTGGACAAAGTCAAGCCCTGCATTCACAGGAACAGCCCCAGGGAGCCAACACAGTGAAAGTTGGGGAGACACAGGCTTTACCATGGTGGCTAGAAAACAGTGCGTTCTCCCTGCCTCAATGGCCTCAGTCTATGGCTCCCAGCTCCTGCCTGCTTAGACCTTTGGCTTGATGGGAACTAGGAGCTGGGAAGAAAGGACAGTCACATGAGGCACAAGAAGAAGGGGGGGCAGAAATAAGTAAAAGGATGGGGAGACGGGAGACGAGAAGAGCAGAGTTAGAACCTTCCCAGATGTATCTCCCCTGACTCCCCCTGGTCTGGGTGGCCCCGAGGTAAAACATGCACCTAGGAGCAGGTGATTTGCATCAGAGGAAGGGGTGAGCCCCAGGCCCGGAAGCTGGGGAGCGTGAGGAGGGCTTGGCAGGCTGCTGGGCCCCAGGCACACCCACATTTGTCTTCCAAGTTTTTGCATCAGGGACAAATCTTGGTGAAAGAAGGCTGTTGGGCCCCAAAGAGAGCTGCATTTGAATGAAGGGGTCTGTGCCCAGCCGGGGCCACCTCCCCATGCTCGGAGGCAGCCAGGCTGAGACCGGGCTGGGCCAGGAACAGGCGCCTCTCCGCCAGACTTTCCAACTCTAAGCCTCATGTCCTCCCTCTCTCCACGTGCATCAGAGAGGTCATGAATCGCCGGCATCGCACAAACCTCTCAGGTCCGACATTCGGCCGTGGGCTTCGGTAAGGTCCGTCCTTAACCTCATGATGATCTCCTGCTGGGACAGGATTTCCTTCTGGGCCATCAGCAAATCTGCTCTGAAATTCACAGAAACGGGCAGAGTCGGCCCCTCCGCTCCGTGGCGGCTCCGAGCGCCTTGAAGGGGCCATGGACAAGGCAAGGTGACCCTCAGCGGCTGATGCCCAGTGAGCCCAGGACAGTGGGGGAAAGTCTCAGAGCAAAAATGCATTTTGCTGCATCTTCCTTTGAAGACGTACATGGAGGTAGGCTCTGGGCTGGCTCCACACAAGGGGAGGGCCTGCACCTAGGGTGGATGAGGTGGCTCTCAGATGGCCAAGGGCGCAGTGAGGCCGCCCCTGAGCGCCCAGAAGGCGCGGCATCTTGGTGGATGACGGGGCGTGGTGTTCCATCAGGTGCCCTGATGGGGGTGAGAGGGAGAAGCTGGTGTGTTTCTGAGCGGCCTGGGGGTGTCGGCGGTGCCGTGTTTGGGTTGGGGCAGCGGGGAGCCTGTGGTCCTGCGTGTCCCGAGGGGACCGCGAGCCTCGGTCTCGGCGGCAGGTGACGCTGCCTCTTCCCCAGACCCTACAGGCTCTTGGATCCCAGGCTCTTCCACAGCCTTTTGAAGGCAGAGCACGTGTCTGCTAGGAAATGAAAAAGTCGGTGATCACTAGGGTAGAAATAACTGTCTACGCGGATATGTGTGCTCCTGGGTGCGTCTCCCTGCTCTTACAGCTGCTTGAGGATGAGACTGCAGGGCTCAGGTGTCTACACCACAGCTGATGAAGTGACCGGTGAGGCGTCTTCCCCAGGCCCTGGCAGTCACGGTTCTAGCAGGAGGGGTCAATTGGGAACTTTTCAAAATATGGAACTGGGTATCTTTGCCTTTGGGGGACAAATCCCCCACGATATTAGACTTCGGGGAGTGGAATTTGGGGCTGGGATCAGGTTGGTGGTTTGTCTTCTTTGAGGAACTTTTCTGAATTCATTCTCGGCTCCTCACCAGCTCCTGTGGCTACGCTGCTTGGCAGGGGTTTCTGGAACTTTCCCCTGCATAGATATTGTTTCTCTGGGAAGTGTCAATTTCTTTCTTTCTTTTTTAAAATAATATAGTAGTTTATTTTTACATCATTTTAAGTGTCAGTTTCTTGAGGTTCAAGGCATGAGCGTTTGAATTGGGGGGTGTCTCTCAAGGCCTTTCAGTTTCTCAATGTCTAAGCTTGTCCAGGACCCCACTGTACTGAGTGTCTCCACTGTCCTATCACCCCAGGAATGGGCTGGTCCCCCAGAAACTTGGGGAAGCAGCCAGTCAGAGCTGCGGCTCGCATGTCCCAGTCACTGCGCCTGCAGGTACCTCCTCATCACAGACAGAGGCAAAGGTGCAGGGCAGGCGTGGCGTGCCGCGCACATGACAGTGGTGTGTGGGGACTGGACACAGACCTTCCCGATTGCTCCCTGACCCCATCCTGACCTGCTAAAGGCACTGAGAGGCTCAAGTAGCAGGGGGAGCCCCTCAGGCCTGACCCCTTTCCCGTTCTGGCGGCTGCCCAGGCTGCCTCACGCCCACTCACATCAGGTGGTCGCATGTGGAATCTTTGGTGTTGTCCACGGACTGGGGTGCCGCCGGGGGGTCCTGCTGTGTTTCCTCCTTCTGAGCTGAATCAGAGGACACACGTCACATCAGCCTCACACACCCGCTGCTTGCTGTCCCCACCCCATGCAAACTTTCCCTGTCTCTCCCAGCTTATAGCAGCGCAGCCCCGCTTCCCCAATGGACCCCCCCAGGTGCTCTGCCTCTCAGATGGGGTGCTCCCCTCCCCCCATGTGGGCTTAGGACTTCACTCCAGCTACTTTCTAAGTCAGGGGGCTTCACGCTCTCACTCACTCATTCAACAGGGCCGCGAGGCTTCATGACAGGCCCTGATCTAAGTGTGGGGTGACAAGGTGGGGTCACCCTTCAGGTTCCTGCTTAAATGTCCTCCCTCTGACCAGGTCCTGAGCTGGGAAGCTGAGTCTCCCTGTGCTCCGTTGATCTTGGGTCACCTCTGGGGTGCTCACTTGGTAACGTGCAGGGACCCCACCCTGCACCAACCCTCACGCCTCCGAGTCAGGCGCCTAACAGATGCTCAGTTAGGAGAGCAGGAATGTGTGCACCAGCGAGTCCTGATGGCCGGTCAGCTGAGACGGGACCATGGCTCTCAGCAGGGTGAGTTCCCCAATGCCTGGAGGCCCAGGATGTAGTGGGTGGAGGTCAGGGATGCTGCTTGACACCCTTCAGGGCACAGGGCTGTGCCCCCACCAGGGACAATCCATCCCCAAATGTCCACAGTGTCCCAGGCTGAGCAGCCTATCCCGAGACCTCTATTTCCAGAACTCTCCAAGAGCCCAGTCTTTGCCATCAGAGGTCACCTTGGCCATTTAGGGAGGACAAGTGTTTACAACTCTGAATCTGTTTCAGCTCTTTTGGGTTTTATTTTTTAAGAGACAAACCCCAGTTGGTTATCAAAGTGCATTAGATCAAGCCTCTAACTTAACCTAAGGCAGACAACAGCCTTTGCAAGGCCCGCCCGGGAAGCTTTCCTGTGGCCAAAGCGGGCCCGGCAGGCTGCCTGGACACCCTCACACCTGAGCCTGTTCATCTCATGGGACTGGCACAGAGTGCCCTAGTTCATTCTCGTTACTTCTGTCAGCCTGTGCCTCAAGGGCCCCCACTCCTGTCATGTGATACGAAGAAAAGGGAGAATGAAGGGGCACAGTCTCTCCCTTCTCCATCAGTCTACGGCGGCCCTGGGACCCGCAGGAGCTCCCCAGCGCTGAGATGCCTCTGCCACTTCGCAGACCTACCTGGGTCGCTGTCCTTCAACGTGGCGATCTCGCCTTCTATTTTTCTGTGGTGTTCAGTCACTATTTGGAGTCTTTCTTCTAGACTGACGATGGTCTGTGAGTGTTGCTTGATTTGTTCTTTGTACTGCCGGATTTCTTCTTCAAAATCATATTTCTGGGATTCTTGCTTCTCCTGGAGTGTCTTCACTGTCTGCTGTTGCAGATGCATCTGCTCCTCCATCATGACCTAGGAAGGCAGGCACACAGCTAGCGTGACCCTGGGAGCCAGGGAGGAGGACAGTGACAATGGGCCCCTTTTGTCCCCACAGAGGCTACAGTCAGTCCCCCCCAACCCCTGCCCAGGGCCTTTGCTCGTGCTGTTCCGGCCGCACAGTCCACTCTTCCCTTAGCTCCTGGCAGGACGGACGCCTCCTCCTGTCTCAGGTCTCGACTGTATGTCGCCTCCCCTGAGAGGCCCTCCCTGACTGCCATCTGAAGGAGAGACACTTTCTATTCCACCATCCTGTTTTATTTTCCTCTGAGGCACTTCTGGCCACCATCTGAATCGTCTCGTTTCTTTGTCACTCCCACGCGGATGGCAGCTCCAGGAGAGCAAACATTTCTCTTTACTTCTGGGCCGACCCACCACCAGCAGCAGTTCCCAGAGGCCTGCACAGCGCCTGGCCGGCCCTGGGGGCTCCCAGTAGACTCGTTGAATTAACCGATCAACACCGAGTGAATGAACTTTATCAGACCAAGTGAATGAGTTTATGTTTCTTCAAAACAAAATTGCCAGTGGTGACTGGGGCCCCTTCCTGTGAGGCCCTCACCCCCCAAGGCTCTCGTGGGGGCTTTGATCTCAGTGCTCCCCTGCCCCCCCCTTCTCAGCTCTCTCCGTCACTCCCGCTCCCTCTCCCTGGCTGACACTCTGGGCCTCGGCCTCGTGAATTCTTAGCCTGAGCAGCACACGCACGTAGTTTCAAGGGTCACGCCCATGAGCTGCCCCTCAAACGCAGACAGTCCCATCGGCCTTGCTTTCTCCCCCAAATATATAGCACCATCAAATGCTGGGGGACCTTTTGTACTTCCATAGCCCTCTCTCGTGTTCGTATTAACGATTCACCTTCTTCACAAGAGGGCCCATCCCTGAAGGCCCCTCCTGCCCCGCGTGGTCATAAGCCTCCCTCTCCCCGGGTGCTGGCCGGAGGCTTGCTGTCTCCTTGGGCTCTCCCTTTCCCTGGTGCCCACTGCCTGTCCGATGGCCCTTTCTCCCTGTCTCCTGTAACTACGGCCTGTCCTTCCGCCCCTCCTCCTCTGCCACCGTGTGTCCAGGTCCTGACGATTCTACTCGGCCCTCTGCAACTGTGTCCTTGTGCAGACGGTCCTCACTGCCCCGTTGCTTGAAGGTCTGAGCGTATGAGTCGGGCACTCAGGGTCCTGACCGTGGGCCTTGAATGCTGAGCTGAAGCTAAAACAGCTCAACGTCTGCGGGATAGCCACCGATCCCTGACTTTTGGGGCTTTTCAGCCCTTCGCGGATCCCGTGAGGACCCCATGGTGCGTGTCCAGGAAAGCGCCATCTCAGCCTCTGCCTGCCTTTCTCAGTCATTTGTCTCAATGGGGGCGACCTTATCCCCAACCTCCTGCACCTCCTCACCCAGGACATTCAGCAGAGTCTGAAGAGACCCTAGGGTTCTGCTAAACATCCACCACCCTACAAGAAAGAGTTACCCCAAAGCGCAAAGGTCGAGGCCACAGATCCTCGCGCAGAGTGGGGGGCACCAGGGAAAATAGCTCTTTCTGCATGGCCCCGACTCACCATTTTCGTCTTGGCGGTTTCCAGCTCAGCCAGGGTCTCCTTCAGCTTGATGGTGAGGCCCTCTGCTTTCAGACTCTCCGTCATCTTTGCTTTCTGAGTCTCTTCCACCATGGCCAGTGCGTCCTTTAATTTGTTATTTAAAACACCTTCTTTTTGCTCTTTTAAATCTATTTCCTAGACAAGCAGCAAATGTCAGATGAACAATTCAGGACTAAATCTTTGCCGCAGCCTTCTCTGCCCCCGTTTCGGAGAGGTGGTGAGGTCTCTTCTCTCTCTGGATTTTTTTCAAGTACAAACTCTGGGGTTTCTCTGGAACGTTCTTAGATTCTAGAGCTATTTACTTATTTATTTTTATCCAGCTGAGATCTGTCTCCTTGTGATTTCTGGTTTCTGAGCTCAGTTCTGTCACCTGGAGCTCACTGAGTGAGTTTTATTTCTCTTTTATGAGACAGCCCTTTGAATATTTGAGGAAAGCTGTCATGTCTCTTTCTAAATCTGTTTTCCAGGAGAAGTGTGCCAAGTTCCTTCACCCCATCATCAGAGTCACGCGGCCACTTTCCTGGTTTCCACTCTGGAAGGCCTCCTGTCCCTTCCCCTGGTCTCCCCATCCTTGTGTGACTCACCCCCCTCTCCTGGAGCCCAATCTTGCCATCTTTGTCAAAATCCTGCTCTCCTCCTTGAGACCCTCCTCAAGAACTATGGGATGTGAGCGTAGAGACCAGCCCTGCGCTGGGGACTTATGAATTTTATTTACCTGACCTTATATTGAAGCAAGTGCTTACGTTTATTTTTGGGTTGCATTTTTGCTCTTTCATGGGCAATGACTGTCCCACCTAGTTGACCTTATTTTTAAGCACAATTTTAGGTTCACAAAAAATTAAGAGGACAGCACAGATTTCCTATACACGCCCAGCTCCAGACATGCACAGCCCTTCCCATGGTTGACGAAGGAGCCTCCAGCACCTGCCGTGAAGGATGACCTGGCTTGTGATGCATTGCACACCTGGGCCTATGTCTCGTTCTCTTCTAGAAACTATTCTGCGGATGAGTTCAGTCTTTCCGCCCACACAAGTAAAGCCACATGCAAATTTCTAAGCGTAGGCGGCTCTGGGACAGTGTGTTTGGTCTCCCCTGGCAAGGGGGTGCCCCTGCGGCTGAGCCCCGTTAGTGAATTGCACAGCCGCCTGCCTTCCCTTTCACTGTTGCTGCCGGAGCAAAACGGACCCGTTCATTCACGATACACATTTTGGGGGGCATTAATCTCATTCCTGATCTACTGGATGACCAACTCGTCTACTCCAAATTTTAAGTCCCCTCACCCCCCCCATTGATGTGTTCCCCACAGTCCTTTGGGGAAGCCAGGCCTGGGGAGCCTGGCTGGTGGCCCTGGGCTCCTCCCCCTCGCTGAGCCCCCTACCTCCTTCTGCTTGGTTAAGTGGTTCTCCAGATCCTGCACCCGCTTCCTTTCCTTCTCCAGGGCCTCCTTTGCTTTGTGCTTTTCGTAGGCGATGCTGCCCTCGGAAATCTGGGAGTCAACGACAGGTGGTTAGGGGGTGTGTGCGGGTGGGAGGGAGGGAGGGGTGGTCACCGTGGGGGAGCAGGGCTGGAGAGAGGTGAGATCAGTGAGTCAGGGCTTGGAGCCAGCGCTCAAGGAGCTGGACGCCCGCCCGGGTGACAGGTGAGACTGAAGCCGCGTCTGGGTGAGTCGCGTCACCACTCGGGGCTTCTGGGCTGGTGTCGGGGAAGTGACTTTCTGTGAGTGCGTCAGTGTTGGGCCTGGGCTAACTGGGCTGTTGGGCCCTTGGGAAACACCTGGCTTCCTGGGAGCCTCTTTGGGAGACAGGCTGGGCAGAGGCTGCCCGTCCCAGCGAACCGACGCCTGAGGGTTCTAGGGCCCTGGCGGTCTCTCCCCGGCCTGCAAAGGTTTGGGTCCAAGCGATGGATGTCCAGGACATTTTGGAACCCAGAATATAATACCCCGAAAGACCTGGGTGGGGAGACCCTCCGAGCCATCCTCAGCTACAACGTGGGGGTGTCGGGGGAGCACCCCTGCAGCTGTTGAAGTTATGGCCCTGGTGGCCACAGGGAAGCAGTTTAAGTGATGCAGACCTGCGCGGATGAGGGCGGGGAGCTGCGCAGCGAGTCCAGACAGTGGCCACTCGGCGGGGGAGCGGGATTGCGGCAATTGATATTTGTTATTTATATTTATTTTCAGCCTGCACGGCCTGTATCTCCTAAATTTTCTTTAGGGAACATCATATACTATCGGCAGAGAGGAAAAGATACTGGAAGTTGTTCTTGGGAACGCAGTGCTGGGAGGGGGCGTGGGGGGTGCATGATCCTGGGAAAAGTCCCTCTTCCCTCGGCTTTAACAGCACCTGGGGCCTCTGCCTCGCGCCTGGGTGCACGCGGCCCTCCCCGCCCCCACCCCCACCGGCGCTGCCTGGGCAGGGCTTTTCCTCAAGGCCAATTCTGTTTAAGAACCCCCGCCCCGCCCCTCCTACCACCAACCACCTTCTGCACCCCCTTGGGCAGGGCTTTTGCCCCCCTGCCTGAAGGCAGGGCACGTGCTTGCGCATAGCTGGGCAGAGTCTGCCACACCACCCAGCAGGAGCCCGTGCCAGCTGCCAGGACTGCCCTTGTGGTCTGGGGCAGCTGCTGACCACAGCGAGGGCCCCACCCTGAACTGGCTGGCTGTGTGGGTGCCGCCTGGACTCTGACCTCACGGCCTGGGTGGACCTGGGCCAGCTCCGGGCAGTCTTCACCTGGCTGGTTCCAGCCCCCCACCCTTGCCCCTGTGCTCCGCCGTCCCCGCCCCCTCGCCTGCACCCTGACCTCATCCGGGCAGACATCTCACAGTGGGCACTGACTCCTCACAGCAAGCCTCTAGGGTGGCTCAGTCTCCACCCACATTGCAGAGGAGGGCACAGAGCAGGCAGGGGCTTGCCCAGCGCCACACAGCATGCTGGGGCAGAACTGGGGTTCGAGCACGCACGTATATTTTCAGTCCTCTAGGTTCTCCTGCCCTCCCTGTCCGTGGGCTACCCCCTGCCCACCCCACGGTTACTCTGTGCCTTCTGTTCCTTCCCTGTAGCATGGCAGTCCTGGTCATCATGGCTACCTCAGTGCCACCCAGGAGGCCTGGTGCATATTTCTGGTGCTCAGGAAACACTTGTGCATGGATAAAGGAAATCGAATTAAAGCTTCAGGGCCATAAGCTCAGTTTCTGGAAGTTCCGCTTGGGCTGCATGTGTCTGTCTCCTCCATCCCTGCGGCCCTGAGCGGGGCTCGTGCAGGGCCTGTTTCCCTGGCTTCCAGGCACCCCAGAGCCCTTCTTTGTCTCCAGGGAGTGACTTGAGCCTCTGGGCCCACCGGGCTAACACCCCTCCTGGCCTGCCTGCCTGCCGTGGGCTGGGGGGCTGACCCAGACGCAAACCAGGGCTGTCCCCTGGAGGGCACCCCTCTGCCCCAGGCAGGTAGCCAGGAAGGCTCCGTAGAGGGCCTTGGCACCAGGAGCAGTTTAGGTGCTGCACACCCACCCACCCACTCACCACTCCCTCCCTCCCTCCCTCCCTCCCTCACTCATTTAACCCCAAGAGCCGGACACCATTCCCATTCCCATATTACAGATGGGCAAACCAAGGCACAGCAGGCTTCCTGCCCTGCCCTGTCGCGGAGCTCGCGGGTTGTAGGAGGTGCTGGCCATTTCGACTGGAGCTGCTGCTCTGGCCTCTGCCTCGTGACCCCACTGGCTGCATCAGGGGCCTGGACACGTGGCCTGGTGTCCGTGGGGGGCTCTGTCCAGAGCAGTGCCATCGCCCCAGCCCCCTGCGCCCCAGTCTCTCCGCTCCCCATACCTCTTTCTGTTGGGTTAAGTGGTTCTCCAGATTTTGAACTTTCCGTTTCTCCATCTCTAAGGCTTCCCTTGCTTTTCGTTTCTCGTGGGCCAGGCTGTGCTCCAAAACCTGCAAACCAGCAGCCAGTGTCTTTGGAAGCCTGCACCCCGAGGTGGAGAGAGCTGCCGACCGCCGATCCCCGGGACCGTGAACACGGCTGATCCTGGGGTGGGCTGACCGCGGGGCGGTGCCTGCACCCTGCATGCACAGCAGCCCTGCCAGGGGAGTGTTGTTTGTGCCCCTTCGCTAGAGGGGGCACCAAGGAGCAGGAGGTTGTCAGGGCCGGGGTGCCGACAGGCTCGCGGGAAAGCCACCACCAGCAGCAGGCACCTGACCTGTCTAGTTTCGAGCTCAGGCTCTTATCACCAAGCCAGGCGGCCTCTCCATACGCGATCTCATTAATAATGGATGCTCCCGTGATTGAAATAAATCACTTAAAGAGAATCAGGTTTCCGGAGGAGGCAACGGTATTGAATTCATGAACCGCGAGCTTCCCACTTTACAAGGGCGGAGATAACCCTCCCGGGGGCAGATCTCACAGGTTGTAGGGAGGAAAGTGTTCAGTAGCTGCTGCCCATCACCAAGACTTTTAGCCAGGAAGCTGCTGTTACTATCTGCTCTTCGGCCACGTGGGTCATGCTAACTGCCTTGGATGGCAGCACTCGCCGGCCCCTGCTCTGGTCACTGCGGGAAAGGGCGCCCAGTTTCCAGACGGGGCGCCTGTCAAATGCCAGCCGGCTGTCAGATGTCTAGAACTGGTTTCCATGCTACCCAGTGGCTGGGGTCGTGCCCAAAGTATCTGCTCCAATCTATGGCTGACATGCTGCAGAGCAAGCGGCGTAAACCCCAGCCCAGCTCGGCTGTCCCGGCACCGGCCTGCACGGAGCAGAAAGGCAGTGACTGGGGGGCTTCCCCTTCCTCTGAGCACTGAGGCAGCGTCTACGTGAGCCGTGAAAGAGACTGCCAAGCATTTCCCAGGGACTGCGGGTCGACTCTTCTGCACCTGCTCTGTCTGCACACCTGCACACAGGACTTTGCCCTTCGCTGCTCTGCAGCCCTCTGACAGTCCACGGCTGCTGGACTGTCCAGCAGGACTCGGACATGTGGCCTGACCCCCATTTACTGCCAATCGCCCAGGCAGGTAATGGCAGTGGGTCCTTCTGGTGCCTCAAACCCTGCTTTATGACCTATGGTGATCTTGTCCTTAAGATAACGCGATGGAAGTTCTAATAAAATAAATCAGACAACTGAGGTTGCATGAGCTCTGTGGGTGGCACATTCATCTCTGGCTCCTAGACAAGGATCCCCGGGGAAGGGAGAGGAGTTGGGGAGGAGAGAGCTGTACCAGGAGGAGAGGGCTGACAGGCCTGGGGGGACCCAGCACTGCACCCCTGCAGTTGGGGCAGCCCTGCCACCCTTTCTTAAACCTCCCTCCCGACATGCCCTATGCCCTCCAAAGCTCTAAATTCAAGGACCTCCCCCAGCCCTGCCCTGCTGACCTCTCGGCAGCCTTGGGTCAGCGGCCTTGGACCTCTTTGAGTCTTTTCGAGACCCTAATCCTCCTGACCCCCCACAACCTGTCCTAGAAAATAACTCAGCACCAAACTTCACTGACACTGTTTATAGGGGCGGAAAGCACAGCTGCCCAGGGGACCCCATGCGAGCCCCAGCTCCTCTCTGTGGGTTGGACCAAGCAGCACCTGCTCCATCCCAGTCTCCTTGATTTCTCCCCTGGAGGTGGATGGGCGAGGGTGCAGGATACTCTGGGGAGTGAGGTTGGAGGCATGTTCAGAGCAACCCAGCGCTTAAACAGAAGAGGGCTGGCACACGTGATCATCACCCTGGCCCCGACTTGCTGCACGACGCGCCTGGGCCACATGTTCACTGTTCATTCTCTGTAATCCTCACAAGCAGCACCCTTGAAGGAAAGCAGGTATTGAGAGATCTGGTACAGCCTGTCAGTAGCCAGGGTGTGAGCCTAGGGTGTAGGTCAGAGGTGCAGGGGTAAAAGGACTCACCAGAAACAGAGTGGGGAGCAGAACAGGCGGATGTGTCTACTGAAATGCACTGCTGAGGGGAGCAGCAGATGGATCAGGAGAGGTCAGCTCCCTGGCTGTGGATAGAACTGGTGCTGCAGTGGCTGCGGACAGCTTCACAGTGCTGTGCTTTAATCCGCTGTGCCACTAGGGAGGGGCAACTTTGGGATTTGACGGCAGATTCATGAAGCCCTGAAGCCCCAGAACTCCACAATTTCTGTGTTTCTGTGCTTCGGGATGTAATTTTTTTAAAAAGGATTTATTTATTTATGTATACAGAACTGGGGTGCAGGGGCAGTGAGAGGATTCATCAGAGACAGAGTGGGAAGCAGATCAGGCAGATTTGACGTACACTGTGGAGGGGAGCAGCGGGTGGGTCGGGAGAGGTCTGCTGTGCCCTGTGGGTCAGCTCCAGGGCCGGGATCGAGCTCGCACTTAAAGCGGCTGCAGCTCGCTTGCAGTGCTGCATCCTAACCCATTGTGACACCAGGGAGGGCGTGGGATGCAATCTTAATGCCAAAGAGACCAGTGATCTTCAAGGCCTATCTATGCCTGCATGTTATGCTCTCTGCAATTTTTCCATCTCAAGGGCAACTCTGGTTCTTTCCTCTGGTGCCCCAGGAGTCTTCTCAAAATAGCTGAGCCTGCCCAAAGAGCAAGGCAGGCAGCCCCCCTGTTCTGCCCCCACCAGCAGAGGTTCTGAACTTACTTCCATGAGGCCCACAAGGCGGATTTGGGCTGGAGCCGCCTCTATCTCCCCGAGCTGCATACCTCCTTCTGGCGGGTTAGAAGGTTCTCCAGCTCCTGGACTCTGATCTGTTCTTGCGCTAATGCTTCTTGTGCTCGGCTTTGCTCATGAGTAATGCTTTCCTCCAAAGCCTGTAAGCCAACGGCCATTGTTTAGCAGTTACCATGGCAGGCATGTGGACACTTGGCCACTCATGGCTCGGCTGTTCACAGCTCAGGGCAGCTCCGTGGGGACAGTGTGGGCAGCTTAGCCCAGGAGCCTCAGGCCAAGACCAGAGTCCTGGGTCAACCCTGTGGCTGTGCAGGCCTGATCTGGGCCCTGGATGGCTCTGTCTGAGCTACATACCTTCTTCTGGCGGATTAAAAGGTTCTCCAGCTCCTGGACTCTGATCTGTTCTTGCACTAATGCTTCTTGGGCTCGGCTTTGCTCATGGGTAATGCTTTCCTCCAAAGCCTGAAAGCCAATGGCCATTGTTTAGTTACCATGGCAGGTATGTGGACACTCGGCCACTCATGGCTCAGCTGTTCACAGCTCAGGGCAACCCCGTGGGGACAGTGTGGGCAGCTTAGCCCAGGAAGGCAGGCCAAGACCAGAGTCCCGGGTCAACCTCTGTGGCTGCGCAGGCCTGATCTGGGCCCTGGCTGGCTCTGTTTGAGCTACATACCTCCTTCTGGTGGGTTAGAAGGTTCTCCAGCTCCTGGACTCTTTTCTGTTCTTGTGCTAATGCTTCTTGTGCTCGGCTTTTCTCTTGAGTAATGCTTTCCTCCAAAGCCTGAAAGCCAATGGCCATTGTTTAGTTACCATGGCAGGTATGTGGCCACTTGGCCACTCATGGCTCGGCTGTTCACAGCTCAGGGCAGCTCCGTGGGGACAGTGTGGGCAGCTTAGCCCAGGAGCCGCAGGCCAAGACCAGAGTCCCGGGTCAGTCCTTTCTAGGTCTAAAGCTTTGGGAAATTGAGAAGGGTGGAAGCCCCAGTTTCCCTCCCTGTACAACATGGACATAATAGTGCTTCCTGCATTTGGGTTGAAGTGACGAGCAGGTGGGATGATGAACTGTGAAATGCTTGGTACACCATAACCCCTTGTGAATATGAATCACTCATTTCTTTTGTCATTTCCACGTTGCAGGGGAAGAAGCAAACTTAGAGATTGATTAATCTGCCCAATCTACTCATTAATCACATGAGCAGGGATTTTAACCTTGGCTCATTTGACTCTAGAGCTTTGTTGTAAACTGGGGGTTGGCGAACTATGGCCAAACCTGGCCCACTGTCTGTTTATTATAAATAAAGTTTTATTGGAACACCTCCATGTGCATGTTTGTGGCTTGCCTACGGCTGCCTTTACACTACAAAGGCAAAGTTGGGCAGTCACGGCATCAACGACTGTGTGGCCTACAAAACTAAACAGATATAGCAGCTTCTTGAATGATGTCATTTTGTTCCATTTTATTTCCTTAAACATTGATGATACAACATAAAATCCATTCCTGGCTGGGGCCACTCTGTATAGTTTGTGGGTTCCCCCTCATCTGGTTCCCTCCGTACCCCACAGATGCACATGTGAGGTTCACTGGCTTGTCTCAAGCACCAACCACAGCATGAGTGTGTGTGTGTGTGTATGTGTGCAAGTACCCCCAGAGGGAAGGGCGTCCATCCAGGATGGGCTGCCTGGCCCATCAGCTGCAGAAAAAGGCTCCTGCCACCCTTGACCTTGAACTGGAATAAATGGGTTGGAAACTGAATCAACGAAGGAATGAAAACAGATCATTGTTTAATGTTAGAAGTGTCTGGGGCCTTTATACTGAAGCTTGGTGACGTTTTTGTGGTCAGAAATCTGCCTTAGGAACTTAACTCTTGTTTATCAATGAGTCTGAGGACAAGCTGGTTTTTTTATATGTGCAAGGGACAGCCTCCAAGAACACATGGAAATGTTAAGTGAAGACTTTGGAAAGGGAAAAGTGATCAGAACAGCGCGAGGAAGGAGGTGGGGAGTTTGTGAAGATTTTGGAGATTTCTAGGGTTTTTGCTGGTTTGACCCTCCGACTTGGGGTCCAGTGGATCTGGTCTTACGGTCCTGAGTGGGGGAAGGGGCCACGCATTGGAAGACCCTGGGGGCACCTATGGACCCAGGCACAAGCAACACCCTTCTCCCCATTAGATCAGAGCTGGGGGTGGGTGAGTGGAGGAAAAAGTGCCAGGCATTAGTTCTCTGGGTTTCCTACACACCAAAGCCCTGAGCCCTGGGAACCAGGTGGCGACATTCATCACCGGATATAAAAAACAACTCACTCTAGGTCTATGATGAGAACTGGCTTATTAAACACAGTTTTCATGCTTCTTCAGAGATTCTGACTAAGTGGGTCTGGGGTGGAGCCCAACGACTGATTGGCTTTTAAACAAGCATCCAGCTGGTTCTTATCAGGCAAATTTGGGAAAAGCTTCCTTTAAGATTTTGCTGCTGAAAATGTGGTCAGGTTTCCGGTGCTGCCGTCCCAGCTGGGAGCTTGTGGAAATGCAGAACCCGGATGTGCTGAGCAGAATCTGCATTTTCAACACATCCCAGGTAATTCACGGCACCTTTGAGTTTGAGAGCACTTGCTGTAAAGATCATCTTTATTTGCTTTGGTGTCTAGAAAAGAAAGCAACTTTGAGTCTTGATTTCCCCTGATATGTATAAAGGGAAAGAACTGAAATACTGTGAAGTTGGTCTTGCACTTTCCTGGAAGCAATCTGTCAGTTACACACCAGGACCTGCAGGTATGACTGGGATTTGCAAAATCAAAGGCAACCTACAAACAGAGAGAATAATCATTTCCAGAAATTCCAATAACCTGCCCCTGCAGGCTGATTCTGCTCTGCGATTTAAAACTTAAGCTTCACATTCCTGCCTTCAATATCACCCACACGTTTCATGGATGTGGTTCCCTGGTACCCAAAGGGGCTGCTGCACAGTCTCCACCTGAGTTCAAGCTTTCAGTTTCTCGTGGAAAAGGCCCTTTCAGCGGTTTCTAGTTGTGAAGAAAATGACAGGACCACCTTACCACCTTTTCTTCTATCAGCAGGTTGATTCTGGCTTTCAGCTGCTCCTCTTGCTGTAGCTTTTCCTTGTTCAGCTTCTCCTTCTCGGCCAGATGCTCCTGTAGCTTTTCTTGAAGCAAGATCTTTTGTGTCTCCTGAGAACTGCTGATCTTGATCTGAAGGGGAGAAAGAAAAACTGTAGCCGAGGGAGAATAGGAGCAACGAACGGGTCACTTCCATATTTTTCTTTTCTTTTAAAAAAGATTTATTTATTTATTTATGCTTACAGAGCTGAGGTACAGGCCAGAGATGCAGGGGGTGAGGATTCACCAGAGACAGAGTGGGGAGCAGAACAGGCGGATCTGCTGAAGGGAGCAGCGGGAGGGAAAGGAGAAGTCTGCTGCACTGTGTGGGTTCGCTCTCTGGTTGGGGATCAAACTCAGTCTCAGGGATGGTAGAAATGAGACTTAACTCCTGTGCCAGCAGGGAGGACCCCTCTGTGTTTTTCTTTTTATAAGTTGTTTACCTTTGAGGAGGACAGACAAAAATTCACACAAAATCTTCTTAAAAATGGACAAACCAGGCTTGGCTGGTTTTACCCTTTGGAAAGCAGTGGAGTATTGTGGTTAAGAACTCTGATCTAGATCCAGATAGAATATCAACTCCAGTTCTTTCTAGCTGCCTTTTCATTTAGAAAAGGTGGTTAATGATATTCAAGATCTTAGCGCTGCAAAGACAAATGAGACACCGGCAGGCTTTCCGCTCAGTGCAGACCACATAGTAAGTGCTCAGTAAATGGCAACTAGAAGCATTGGCTTTATTTGCTGAGTGTCTGAGAAGACACAGTGAGTCAGGGTCAGCAGGTCTGAGCTGTTTCCTGTGTGACAGTGAAACGGTCACTCCAAACTTGACCTTCGGTCTGTACGATAAGGAGAATGGACTGACCACTGTCTGCAGGTCAGGTCTGGACCACTGCCTATTTGTGCAAATAGAGATGTATGTTTTTTGCTCCTGTCTTTATTTTATTTTGTTTTTAATGAGCTAACTACTTTTCTTACTTTGTTGTTTCTCTGTGTGTATTTCTTTTTTTTTTTTTAAGAGTTATTTATTTATACACACAGAACTGGGGTACAGGCCACAGGTGCAGAGGCGATGAGAGAGATTGGGGAGCAGAACAGGCAGATTGAAATCCACTGCTGAGGGCAGCAGTGGGGAGACAGGGGAGGTCTGCTGCGCCCTGTGGGTCAGCTCCTTGGCCGGGGATCGAACTCATGCTGCAGCGGCTGCTTTTTAGCTTCATAGTGCTGCACTTTAACCTGTTGCACCACCAGGGAGGGCCCTTCTATATGTATTTCAGTACAGCATTTGATTTTGTTTTATCAGAAAAGGGCTTTGCCCATCAGGTGTCTTCATCTACGTGTCATCTACGGCTGCTTTTGCTCTACAGCTCTGGAGCTGAATAGGTGTGACAGGCTGTGTGGCCTGCAGAGCCTAACATTTACCATCTGGCTTTTTACAAGAAAAAAAACCCTGCAGCCCCCGGGACTAGATGACCCCCGTGGTTGATTGCAACGTGTCCCCAAGACACCCTTCTTCCATCCACATCTCCACTACATAACCCTCAGTCCCCGCCGTATCCTGCCCCTTCACACTGGCCTCAGCAATGTGACTTGCTTGGTCCGATGGGATGTTAGCAGATAAAACACAAGCAGAAGATTGACAAGCTTGCTCACTCTTGTGCTTCCTGCTTTCCTATGCTATCACCATGAGAACATGGCCAGGCTAACCTGGTGGGAGTGAAAGACGCATGGGTGGAATGGATCCCGCTCCAGCCGAGGCCAGCCTAGAGCCGCCAGGGGCTGGCAACATCCAGACGCGTGGGCGAGCCCATCCAGGAGGGGTGACCCACCTAGCAGCCGGCCCAGAAGTGTGAGACGTGAGCAGTGATGGTGGAATGCTGCTAACAGCTTGTGGTTGCTTATTATACCACATGATGGCAATAGCTTCCAGAAGGAAGGAGCCCCTAACGGTCATTTTGCCCCTAAATTGTAGCTATGATGTGATTTTTGGTAATTTTGTTGCCTGGATTGTGGCTAGCATGAAACTGTGGCTACACATCTCCCACAGCATTTAATTAATGCAATTTTATTATTTTTATTTAAAAAAAAAGATTTATTGATTGATGCATACAGAACTGGGGTACAGGCCAGAGGTGCAGGTGCAGTGAGAGGATTCACCAGAGACAGAGTGGGGAGCAGAACAGGC